TCCTCGCTGACTTTAAGTAAGCGTACTACATTTTTGTGCTGATGATTCGTGACGTGTGCTGCAGAAACTTTGTACCTGTAGACAGATGCTAAAAAAAGATTTTACGGAAACCTAGAAACTCAGAGACATAAACACAGGCAAAAACCTGCTCTGTAAGTTTTTAACCATCAGAATTAGGGAGAATAGGCTTGTCACTAGTCATGACTTAGGAAATGTGTGGATCAGCAGCGCTCTGTACCTCTAGAATCTGGTGATTTACAGCACACCCGACTGGAAAATCATGATGAAAATGTAATTTGAAATACTAGCAGCGACCTGCCTTTTGCAGACCAGTCCAAAAACACGTCATGATTAATCACGTGTAAGGACCTCAGAAAGCGCACATCCTTGTTTAGTATTATTTGGAGCTGTGCTTGTTTGCATCAGCTCATGATATGATCCATTTTGCATAGTGAAGTGTTTGTAGCTAAAAGAATGGAAATCAAAGGTCTTAATAGAATAGAATTGTCTTTCGAATTTGTAAGCCATTTGATTTCTAAAGGCAATGGTTGAGTGAATGGAACTACCTATGATATTTAAAACTGGCCTTGAAGTAATTACATCGCTGATCCAGTAATGTAGGGCAAATTGCAGTTTTAATCTTTCATGTTATTACCACATTTGCAAAGTATCATGACACTCTAGGAATTACAATGAACTGTAGCAGCTTTAGAAGCTGCCATAAGAATTAAGAATTTTAGTGTGTGCTCTAATTTAATTTTCTGCTGTATTCAAGACGCTTGCTGTGTGGCAAGTTTTTATGATGTGTATGAAAGGCGGGGCAACTTGTAAGAAGGTGAGGCTCCTTGTGAGGCACAGAATTTAATTTTGTGGTGTGGAAGTATTTAGAAAGCATGGTGACGTTTTCTGAATCCAGTCTGTACTGTTTGCTAAATGTAAACAACGTTATCAAACTGTATATAGTGCCTTTTTGTTCCACCATTTTTAGTCTGTTTTCATATTTCTATTCTTTCACATGTGATTGACTATCCATTATTTTCACAGTTTTGTTTTTTTTTTTTTCTTTTCTTAAGGAAATCTAATGAATTGTTGTGCTGGTTTAACCCACAGGTAGGACCATGTGGTCCTGCACTCACTACCCCCACCCAGTGAGATGGGATGGGAGACACAACAAAAGGGGCACAGGGTTAGGATGAAGACAGGTAGGGCTCACTCACCAGTGATGGTCATGGGCAAAACAGACTCAAACTTGGGGAAGAAAAATCAATTTAATTTGTTCCAAATCAATCGGAGTAGGACAGTGAGACATAACAACCACATCTGACAACACCTTCCCCCACCCCTCCCTTCTTCCCAGGCTCCAATCGCTTTGCTCCCCATTTCTCTCCCTTCTCCCCCAGTGGCACACGGGGCAGGGAATGGGGGTTGCAGTCAGTTTGTCCTTGCTGCTCTTGCTGGCGTGGAACTCCCTGATGCAGGCTGCAAGAGTCCAGGAACAAAGTGTTCCAGCATGGGCTGCCCATGGAGTCACAGATGGTTTTTGGCTCAGCTCCCGGCTCCGGCATGGGGACATCCACGGGCTGCAGATGGGTCTCCAGTCCAGTGCACCTCCTCCCCCCCGGCTCTGGGGGTCCACCCTTCCTCTGGCGTTGAGCATCTCTGAGGTCTCAATTCAGTCACACCTGCCCTCGGGCTCAGCTTTCTGCTCCAGCATGGAGTCCTCCATGGCCTACACATGGGCATCTGCTCTGCTGTTGAACTTCCATGGGCTGCAGGGACCTCCTTCTACTCAGTGCGGTTGAACTGGGTCTCTGAGGTTCTCTGCCCTCCCCCTCCTCCTCCTTCCTCCTGGCAATGAATCTCTCTCTTTGTTTAGGCTGGTGGTCGTCTTTTCTTCAGGTCAATGGCCTTTCCTCCAGGTTCTCTCCACCTTCTTTTTTTCAATCCAGTCCTTCCCCTCACAAATACGGATTCATGGAGGTGTTTCTCTAGTGCTAATTGGCTCAGCCTGGGCTGGAGGTGGGTCCACCTTGGAGCCAGGGGAGCTTTGTGAAGCTTCACACAGGTGCCATCACTGTAGCCTCACTACCAAATACAGCTCCCCTACACACAAACCCAACACAACTGTGCAGAAACCACAGGGACTAGCAGCACTCACTGTCATTATTAGCTTGACCTGTTCCTGCAGTCGTGGCCTTTTGAGAAATTGTTGAGATGTGAAAAAGGAAAAAAAATGTTACATCCACTACACTTGGAGTGGGTCAGATCTTGTCAAGACCATCTTTAGGCTGCACTTGTCCTGCTGATTTTTGGTATTTTTAGGTCTGTATGTTTGGTATTTTTAGGTCTGTTTTTCAGTGTCACTGCAAAGTTGAAACTGATGGCCTAGTTTTGATCCCCTCATACACTAGTGTCAGTCAAGAACAAACTGTATTGAAGTAGGTGATGTTTAGATGTATAAAAGCAGAATGAAAGGATACTCTCATCCAGACTCTTATACACCCTCAGACACATGGTCTGAATCTTGGGATTGTCCTGTGCAGGGACAGGAGCTGGACTGGATGATCCTTGTGGGTCCCTTCCAACTCACAACATTCTAGGATTCAATGATTCTATGACCAGTGTAGTCTGAATGTGGCTTGCAGTGGCATTTTGATCTGATCCACTGGCTGTATAGGGTCAGAGCAGAGATTCATCTAGCTCCTGTACTGTTTTTGAGACTAATATTGGAAACATCAGGGAAGGGATCAAGAAACAGGGTAGTTATGGAGTGATGTTTTCCTTTGTGTATTTCCCACCTATTGATGGTTGGTCAGACTTTCTGAGCTAGAAATTTTCCTTGTAGGAAAAAGAGTACAGCTGTTCAGGCAGCTGTAAGAACTAAATGCCTCTTGCTAGGTCTGATCTACATTCCCTATGACAGCATTCCCTAGCCTTCTTAATTTTCCAGGGCCTGCTGGCACGGGTGCTCTAACAACCTTCCATGAGGGCTCACCCACTGTGGCAGCGCCGGGTGCCCACCACCCGCATGCGGTGTGGAACAGCTTGGTTCCAGTACAAGGTATCGGGATTGGTAAAGCAGCCCTGACTGCTGTATGTTAAAATTTCAGTAAGAGCCATTCTGAGGAGGAGTTTCCTAAAGCGGGATGGTATTTGGTGTAGCCATCCTTTGCCTTCTCTCAGGATGTTTTTTCTTCTGCTGCTTGTAACTCTGCTTTAGGAAGGATTTTGACAGCCAAGTTCTTCAGTCATTAAGCCAAAACTATTTCAGCTTTGGAGAGTATTTGAATAACAGTCAATTATTTATAAATATCTAAAGGGTGGGTGTCAAGAGGATGGGGCCAGACTCTTTTCAGTGGTTGCCAGTGATAGGACAAAGGGCAATGGGCACAAACTGGAACACAGGAGGTTTCACTGAAACATGAGGCAAAACTTCTTTACTGTGAGGGTGCCAGAGCCCTGGGACAGGCTGCCCAGAGAGGGTGTGGAGTCTCCATCTCTGGAGATGTTCAAACCCAGCTGGGCACTTTCCTGTGCAACCTGGGGTAGGGAAACTGCTTTGGCAGGGGGGTTGGACTGGATGATCTCCTGAGGTCCCTTCCAACCCTCACCATTCTGTGATTCTGTAACAGTCCTGGGACGATCGGTGTTGCAAAACAGAGTGAGGAAGATCTATGTTTGCAGATTTTTTCTACGTGGTTTCAGAAGAGGTGGGTGATTTGCTTGTCAATGTCCTGGTTTGGTTTGAAGTCAAAGGCCTGTTCACAGTCATATTATACTTATGTGCAACGTGAGAAGTCCCAACAGCCTGGCCCATAGCTATAGGAAAAGTCACCTTTGTCACAGAAAGCCAGTGCAAGCTGCAAATGTGACAAACTGTAAATCTAAGAAGTGCTTGGAAGATGGTGTGTTTAAAGAGGTATAAAGCATTGTCAGGTTTGAACTTCAGCAGACTCTGGCCCAGTTACTCTGTTGGTGGGATCAGAGCCTTTTCTCCGTAAGAAGCTGAGTAAACAAAGTTCTTTGTTCCTGAGGTTCTGCCTTCACATCCATGCAATGCCAAGACATGTACGCTGAATTCCGGACTCTGGAGCACTGGATGCAAATTGTGATATGTGGTGTGAATACTTGTAGTGACTTTAAATTATTTTTTCATTTACTTGTATGTTTTCTCGTTCCCGTTCATTGATTGTATTTCTTCTTAATCTGCCTGATTTTGCTTTGAGATTCCTTTTCAGAGCTAGTTTTGTCTTCTGCATCTCACAGACTCCCCCCTCCTCATTCATCGTCCCATTTGCAGTGTCTTTAGTGCAGGCCATAAAGGGTCGGCATTTTTAAAAAGCTTTTTCTTCTTTGAAGCTTCACTGCCTAATTAAAGAAATGGTTGGTAAGAGATTGTGGAAGGCATCATTAAGAGGATCTGATTTGTTCTTTTCCTTCCTTTCCATGCACAGGTTTCAGATCAGAATTTGTGAGTAAATGGGACAGCAGCATCCCAAAGTATTCCTGTGCTGAAATTGTGACAATGGACAGAATACAAGGAGACTCTGCGAGTTCCGTGCCACCAAGAGATGCAGAGAGGAGCAGGACTGCAAAACAAGACCCAGGACTAACTGTTTTGGAAAAAGCACATGAGTTCTTTCAGATTTGTGATCTGGAAAGCAAAGGCTTCATCACTCGTCAAGACATGAAGGTAAAACAAAACTGGCTATGTGAAATGCCCAGTGAGAGAAGCTCCTGATTCCCTTAATGCATTGAAACTGCTTAATTTAGAGTTAAAAATTGTAAAACCCTCCTGATAACTTTAAAGAGATATGTAGGATTTAAAATAATCTCTCTGAAGTCTTACAGAATGTTTGCATTCGTTTCCAGAGACAAAACAACAAAAAAGTGGAAAATCAAAGTAAGTGAAGTTTAAAGAAATGCCTCAGGAATTTGATTCCATTCTTGCTGTTGAAACTCCAGTAAAGTCGTTGCTTTGCAATTTGCCACACTATTGCAAGTGGATTCAGCCCACCAATTTTATCCTTCTGTTTTTACAGCAAAATTGTCTAAATAAAGTCTTTCACTTTGGTTTCACCTGCCAGACAATGGTGAACTCTCAGCTGGATCACATATATATGTAGGAAGTATAGAAGAAGAGTATTTTAGCATTGTTCAGTGTTCACAATAATCTTAACAAATTGTTCTTAAATTGTTTGAGGGGCCAAAATGAGTTTTTGCTGAAAATGTTGATGGAAAAAAGCAATTATTTAACAAAATCTTTTGAAAATGGGATTGGGTGCATATTGCAGAAATGATAAGATGATTTGAACCAGTGTGTGGCAGAAAATAAGAATGTACTCATGCTTGACACGCAAAACATGATTTCATTGTGTTAAACCATTTCTACTTCAGCACTTATGGATGAAATAGAATTGGGGAGCAGTAGCAAAATAAATTCAGTGCAAACTACTACCAACAGAAGCATCTAATATAAAATCTAGAAACCTTCCATGCCCTTAGAAACAAAGATGTGTCTGCATATAGGAAAATGCAAGTGAAACACTTCTAACTACTTGTGCTGGAAAAAAAAAAACTCGTAGGAAATTGCTTGTATTACTAACTCACAAGAGCTTTCTGTGCCCTTGTGTTTTGCTGAGTTTTGTGTTCACCTTCTTCTGCAAAGTTGAAAAAAAGATGGGAGTGCAAATACTTGCTGTGCTGTAGGCTTTACCAATATACGTTATCTCAATGAAGTAACTGAGCACAAACAAATATGTTGATAGTGGTAATTTTGGTAAATCTAGGCTAATAGAGAATTTAACAGATTATAATTTTATTGTCTTTCATAAAACTGAACAGCATATATTTTCACCTACGTAGACCCACGTATATATATATATATATCTGTATGTATGTGAATATAGGAAGTATTAATATTTGCTTTTGCAAGGAACATAAAGACACTTAGGGCCACAAAAATGATGGTGAGGGGCCTGGAGCATCTCCTGTA